GCATTTAATTAGCGTCAATCTTTGTAAACTTTTTGCCTTACATTGAAACATCATAACGTTGACTGGTAATAATGTTTTAGGTTTCTTTGTAGCACACATGCAAACTGAAAACATTTTGTTCAAGTTCAAGGTTTTACCAAATCTTTTTTTCCATCCCTAGCCTTGTGAGAGAGTAATTGCCAATAATAATAATTTTTATACCTATTAAATGTAGGAATAAAACATAGAACAAAATGTATTCATTCATAGCTTAGAGCTAACTAAGTACTAGGGAGCGCAAGTAATGTTAGGTTTTTTCGAGCGGTGTTTCAAATTAAAGCTGTCGGACGTAGGGGTGACTGTATGGGGTGGGAGCGCATGCGCGAGCTGGGCGTGTCTATCGGCCGGCGCGTCGCCCGGCGGCGGCAGCGGCAGTTCCGCAATACCGTTCGACGTCGGCCCGCATCGCACCTCAGACAAACCCCTGGTAATTACCTATCACTTATACTTAATTGCACACATTTAACACTCAAAACTTTACTCATATAGTTCAATCAAAGGTTTCCTATTATAATGTCTTCCATCCCATATCTTGCTTTTTTGTATTATTAACACATCGAACCAGTGGCCAGATTTGTGCTCATTCTTTTTTCAGTTCCCATCTACCTACGCAAAAACTGAGTACATTTTTTCTCATTTTTATTAATTTCTGATAGATGTTCTGATGAAATAATTGTAGGTCTTTTGCAAAACTTTTTTCTGATCCTCAAAACGAATGAATATAATAAATGGAATCATAGAGGTGTCTGATACTAATATTCCTTTAGTGAGATCAGTCTTCCTGTTATGGTATAATCGCGTTTAGTGGCGATTTGTTAAGACAATTTGAATTTGTCCTTACTGTGACATGTGCCATGCCATGGAGATGTCATATTGTCATTGTCAATAATGAGAGTTAATGAGATTTATAATTGAAATGACGCACTTTATAACATTAACTGATAGGGAATCTTTAGACTTGGAATGAGATTTTAAATAGACTAACTGTATTTTTTTTAATTTATTCATTGAACATTTTATTTAATATTATTAAAATTTAAAAGCTGCAGAAATGAAATAAATCCCGTATTTTTTACTTACGTTACGTTTTTTTTCGCACTACATGCTGTCTTAATGTAAAATTTTAAAAAATTTGAAAAAATATATACAATATTTAAAAAGCGAACAGTTACACGTATTATAATTACGAGTGCTAAGAACCTAGAGCTAAATAAAGTACAACAACGAGACTCAATAATAAAATAAAATAAAAAAGGATTTCGTAAGCACACCTAAAATAAACTTGAAATTAAAGTATAACACTCGAAGTCCTCCTGTAGGAACTTAAATTTATTTAGCGCACTCCGCCATCACATCACTATTCACTCCCCTACAACGTTGTCTTTGTACATTACAACGAGGGTTGTCCCTTGCTCTAATGTATGTGCAGTCATACCGCGTGTGGTCCTTCGTTATGTGAGCAATTTTAATAGAGAACCCTCCACGACTCCCTCTAATTGTTTGAAAAGGGTATACTCCATCGCGCCTCTATTTTGCTGTTTTACCTGTTGTTTGTAACCTCTATTATAATGTTAGCGGTCTTAATGATATAATGTTGTATTGTTTTGTTCCGTTCACCATCCTTTGATTTTAAGCCTGACAAGTATTTTCTGAAGATTAAAAAAAAAACAATATAAAACACCCTTTAATTAACCAAAAAGTAAAAAGTGTATTTGTAAAAAAGGTAATTGGTATTGTTTCACTTATAATTGAAGTCTAATGTATCGCAATTTTAAATATATATCTTTTATTTAAACTATACTTTAAGAGTCTTTTTCGTTTTAGAAACTATGAATGTCTCAGTGTCTTAGGAATCAATCGATAGCATGAAACGGAATAAAAGGTAGATTCTGTGACGCAGATAGGACTCGGAAAATTAACCTCATTTCAGATGAGCTGATTGTGACGGAGATTATTTAACTGGATATTCCTGTAAGCGAACCTGTATTTCCCTGTTGTGATATACAACTCAGTGATTCGATTCATTCCGACGCCCGGTGTTCGCTGTTGTACAATTTTCGCTCGTTATTGGATCGTGTTTCACTTTATTGGACATCTATCTAAATATTGCATTGACTTATTATTTTGCTTTATTAACTTAAGGGGAAAATATTATAGATAATTTTGTGGTGTAGGCATTACATTTGAACAACATACGAGTAATTATTTTCTCATTTTACGTCGAAAGGATTTTCATTTATTCAATATTTGTTTGATTCTTTTCTGTCAACTTAAAACTTAGTAGCTGTACCCACCGTGGCTTCACTTGCGTGTACACATTTATATTTTTGTTGCTCAAATCCCTAACTCTTTTCTTTATTATATCAGTGTAAGTAACTGATCTCAAGTATATGCCCGTAAAAGTCCTGTGAAAATGAATTAACCCATTCTGGAGATCAGCATACAGAACGGAACAAACAGGGACATACACAAAAATTAAATATGCATTTATTAAAACTTTGTTGTTATGGCATCACAAGCAGTCTGCATTTTTTTTGTAAAGACATGTACGCATACATTTCGTATGTGTTTTATTAGAAATAATGTCATTGTGTATCATGTTATATTATTTCTGTTACAACAATGAACTGTTACGAAACAGGTTGTGATGTCAGTAATTGGTGTAATGTGTTACTTACAGAGGGCTTGGCAGCCGGTTGGCATGACGCCAACTTAGTCGTTGCTCTTATCGTAGCTTAGTACCGCCATACACATATATACGAAGTATTTGATTGGCGGAATATTCATGTGCTTGAACCGTTATATGTACTTAGTGGAAAATATAACATTTTATTATCCAACATGTATTCAGAATGTCAGTATACTAAGCGATTATTTCATTAGAGCCTTTAAGTGCGATTACAGACACTTTTGTAAGGGACGCTACACTCTCTTCGAAGATCCAGGCCGCGGCTTTAATAACGCGGATGTAAATTGTTCTTGTATTTTTATGATCGAGTGATTAGGTTAGCAATATCAAAAGCCCTAGTGTTTTTTTTTTCGATTTACATTATAAATAATAAATCAAACTAAATGTTACCTTGATACAAAAAAATTAGCATCAACTTGTTCAATTTATCATTCTAATTATAACTATAATTATCATAAGCAAATATAAATATTACATTATATATTATATAAATATACAATATAACATTTTTTCTCTTTGGATGATAATACAATTTATAGTCTAGTGTATTTAACAATAAAAAATATATTACTACTTCAATTGGAATTTAAACAGGGGCGGTGACGTTGAAAACCTCCCTGCGGTCCTGGTCCGTGGTTAAGTTAAAACAACGGTCTAGGTTAACAGATAAGTACTTTACCAGGAGGGTATTAGTTATTTCTCGTCTAGGGAACCTACCTAGGAGACAGTCGGCTCTATCTCCAATCTGGGATGAGCAACCATTGCCCAAAAAGCCCGTTTCTCAGCTGTGAGTCGACCATCGAAAGAAAAGCGAAAGTTGCGATAGTAGAGTAAGATCATTCGAAGGTCTGAGGGCCAGTCAAGATAGCAATGAGGCCGGCTGCGCAGTACCGCATTCTCGTAAGGCGGAAAACGGCCTGTCTCAAAAGTCGGCTAACTCTGATCTTCTGTATTTTGTTTGAACATATAATATCAAACAAAGTTATCAAGACGAAAGTAAATAATAGAATATTAATTTAACTGGCATTATTTGATTCTATTTGTTTCTGGTTGGATAATATGTTGAACAAATACATAGTATGAAATTTGCCTATCATCGGCTGTATGAGTTTCTAAAAAAAATTTGGAGTCGACTTCGACAGATTCAATTAGTAGGCACTGTAGCGTGAACTTATTGTGCATTGTACATGTTTAATCCAGTTTTCAATTAAAATTTTGGCTGAACCCAGAATTTTATATTCAATGTTTTTAACTGGCGCTAAATTAATTTATTTTATTTGCATTTGATCCCACTAGTTTCATTCTCTATTTCCATTATGGGACTACTGGGATTTTTTTCTCCCAGTATTTCCATGGAACTGGAATACTTTTTCACTTAAGCCTATTAGTTCCATTATACAAAAAATGTAGGAACGGTTCATAGCTGAATCCGAGAAACTAAAATGAAAAAGGTTCAAACTATACATTCACACAACTATATACTATACATTTGACCGTATGCTGTATTTATTAAATTGTTTTCGGTAACATGTTCTGTATACTCATTGTGATATCATTTTTCATTATTTTTAACAAAAAAAGGGAAAATTTAAAAAAAAAATGAATTTGTCGGCAGGAAAAAAAATCCAATGGTTTTCGATTTAGAATGATGCTCTAAATACACTATTTCAGTATTAGTTACACCTTGTGTATTATACAGTATATTTAAAGAAAATACAAGTAAAAGTAAATCCTGACATGAAAAGAGACTAATTTTATTATGAAGGACATCCTTGTAATCAATTCGCAAATGAGACTTGTCACTGGAAAAGTTTCTTAAAGATAGAGTTTGTCCGCGTTTCTTATAGATAGAGGTAGAAAATGAAAAATATATGTAACCCATAAGTCATGTTTTTTGTTAATAATTGACCTAACTAATACCTACCAATAAACGGGCAAATGATAGTTACAAATGTTTCTTTCATTGTGATTATACTGGAACTAATGGGACTAATTTTGTCTTGCATAAATAACACCCTAGTTCCATGTGACTACTGGGAGAAAAAAAATCCCAGTAGTACCATAATGGAACTACTGGGATCAGACGTTTATTTGTTACTATAAGTGCCCTGAGCTTTTTATGCATATGTTCATTTCTGTCTTCCTAGGTATAGGTTGTACTAAAACCGCTAGTACATAACATAGTATAAATGTAAAACGATTCATATATGTAGTAATACTTTTAGTGATGTGTGGAGAATGTGCATTAAAATTATCCTGTAATCTATGGTAGAGACGAAAAGAACGCGGACGTATTGACACAGCCACGATTCACACTATAGAGCACGCCCAACTGGATAAGCTCTCCTCCGAGAGCGACGCAGAGAAGAATCCCATTTACAGATTTCCCTTTCAGGTAAGACATAATAAAAAAAAAAATTGGCTTTTCTACAACAAGATGTTTTAAATATATTTTTTTGGTAAGGTGGGCTACACAGAGTTGGGAAACGACTACACGCTCTATCTCGTCGCCAGTGATCATTCTGAACGTTCTCTGTGGATACATACAATCAGATCGGGTGCGTACACATCATCAAAATGTTATTTATGTTATCATTTAAGTAGCTAAAGTCTGCAAATAACACTAGTCAACTATTTTTGATAATCTCTTTATAATATTTTCGAAAATACCTTAATCAATTTTCAAATGGATAATATACAGTACATTTTCCAAGAATTATAAGTAATTATATCTTTCAAGAGATATAGTTACATATTAGTAGCATATTTGTAACGATAAATAAGGAATTATGGCGTTAGTTTGGTTGTAGGGCTAAGACGAGCTGGGTTGTAGTGTGCGTAGGTAGCGCCAGGAGGAAATACTATCATCCAGCGGCGTGGGCTGCTCGCCGGTGGTTGTGCTGCGACGCTGAGAGAAGATTGGCTCAGGGGTGTGCGTTAGCAGAAATTTGGCCATTGCTCGAGCCTCTGGGTCCCCTTAGTATTCAAGACAAGTGCATATCCAAAGAAGTTGCACGTACGTAAAATATATTATATCTCTTGAAGTTTTTGTTGATATGTTCTTAATATTGTTTTACGACGAGACTTTTTAATAATCAATCAATTAAATTTAGAGTAAATCTAGTGTTAAAAATAACTGTTCCCTCTTCCGCACCGTGTTGTTTTGTCTAATGCAGTATAACCAAATTATGTGACCTTCAACTAAAACTTACGTAAAACTATGATGAATTCAATGAGAAACTTGGTATACAAATTTATACTAGATTAGTCTCCATGTATTTATCCATTTGCGGCGCACATTAAACACTGCGATTTTAAAATGTTTAAGGCGATATGTTCAATCAAGATGACCTTGATATTTGAACAACAGAGAAAGATGTGTATGTAAGTAAAACTTTTATTGATTAATAAGTAATTGTCATTGAAATAAATAATACCAACTTCAGATAAATTCAATATTAAAATTAATTCCATGTCAATCATGTTTTGTACAAATTTGAAATATACTTGTAAATATACGACAATATTTAAAGAAACGACAAAAAAGTTGCAGTCGTAAGGCTTCTGAGGAAGATGTTTAAATCTTTAAGCATCCTGTCTCTTTCAAACGTTTTATACGACAAATAAGTGAAAGGGAGAGCACGTAACGCTTGCGCGCGCGCAACGAATGGTGAATGTAGGCCGAGCGCGACCATCTTTAAAGCACTCGCTCCTCGTCTCGACAACTATAAGGCCTTGTTCTCCATTGACTGTAGTAAATTTAACTAATTTGTTATTATTATATTATATTAGATTATATTATTCAACTAGCTTTTGCCCGCGTAACATCGTAGACAATATAATGTTGATAAATATGTAATGTAATCATACTAAGAGTTTAGAATCGATAAGTTAAAAAAACAAACAGTTCCCCATACAAACTTGTACTTAACGGTAGTTTTGAAAAATTTGAAACAACGGTTTTTATTACTTTCAATAAAGAGTATTTAATGTGAGTGACAACATCACTTCAAAAATAACGAAGTTTTATATAAATTTCCAACCCCGGTGAAATTTTTAAACATCCTTTCTTAATGCATATCTACGTCACCTTCAGAACATTTGTGCAAAATTTCATGCTGCTAGACCCAGCGGTTTCAGCTGTGCGTTGAGATCAGATTCAGATGCGACGATTCGATTTCGAACGATCAGTTCGTGAATCAGTCTGTCAGTTTCTAGTTTTATATATTATCGATTACTTAAACAATTAACACTCCCTTTTTAAATTTTTACGTTAATATAATTGATATTAATAGCAAAGATTTTGTGTATCTACGAGGTAATATTAGGCGTTATAATAATAGTATGATGGGACAAGCTTCTCATAATTTTTCTGGTTATTTTTATCATTGTAGCATCGATTATATTTATCGCATACAACTAACAAAATAAAGTTTTAATCTCAACCAGTTTTTACGTGGCGTATCGGCAATGTTATGTATGACGCTTTACGTTCGCTGCGGTACTTGGACACGTTTGTAGGCAGTCGGAGTGTGGTGTCGCGCGCGGACGTCCGGTCACAAAGTCCCGTTCTCATGTTGCCTAATAAATCCGAGGACGAACCAATGGTTACAAAGAAGAAATCTAAGATACCATGTCTATCATTATCATCATTTCTTCCTGCAGTCGAGGGTACGGTAAATTTTGTGTGACCTCTATTTATGTGGCCTCGCCGCCATCAGTTGCGTTCACTGGTCTCGTTGCACTCACTTTCTTGTATTGGTCAGGTGTAATGTAATGAGTTTTTGTAATGTCAGCAAAAGTGATATTGTTTAGTGTTTTCTGATATCAAGTGTTGAAAATTGTGAGTTCTGTCAGTGTCATGACAAAATTACGATTTATGTGTTTTAAATCTAGTAAATTAAGGTTAACTATTTATAAAATCTATTAGAGTTAATTTGTTATTCACAACTTAATATTAAAAGTTTGTTTGAAAGCATTCCTTGAAAATAATAAGCTAATTATGTCCGGTTCCTAATTAAAAGTTTGTGTGTATGCTGTTTTCCATTTTTTCATCTTTATCGCGTTTGACAGTAAAGTAAATTTATATTTATTTATTAAGTTTACCTGACTAAACAGTCAACATTAAAGGACAAATGTTTTTGTTGCTTATTGTTACATTATTATGGTAATTTGTGTATAAAAATATACGACCGTGGCGCTACGGAGATTATTTCCGGCTCAGATTCGTTTTTTTTTATTTAACGGTATAGTCGTTTATGTTTGAATATGTTTGTAATAATTTTCATATTTATTTACAACGACAACTACTAAAACTACGACATTACGCTACTTAAGGCAAATGGTAATCTGGGATAGTAAGAAGTCTATTACACGCCAAAGGATATGGAACATCTCATCTGTAGTCATTAACTGTCAATCCAAAGGTTATGGTATAATCTTTTACAATATTTGATGAGCCCATCTAGCCAAGTGAAATCTGTGGGCTGTGATGATCAGTGATGTCATAATTAAATCTTTTTTGGATGTCCATACCATATTATGGGCATTTTCAAGGATTTATGTCTTTTATATGTCTATATTTAATCGTAAGGTTTTTTGCAAGCCCTTTACTATCAGTTAGCCAGTACCTTGTATTACCATTTAATGTACATGGATGCACCTGTAAAGTGTATTTTCGTTTTAAAATTTATTTGTTTGTACAGCCGCCTTGACGGCAGTCACAATGCCGGGAGGAGGCGGGGCTCCTCCGGGCACTCCATCTGCTAAACTTAAGGTAACACATTTTTAATTAGCACATACACATGCCTGTGTTGTATTTTGCGAATTGAAGAAAAACCTTCAATTTATGGAGGGTAATTTTCTTTTAAATTTTACTAATCAATAATATTTAATGAAAAGGAAATTAAATTAATAGTGACCCATTTTATTTCAATGTTCACAAAAATAATTATTACCTGGCGGTAAACGCCTTATATTCTATCATCATCATCACATCAACAGCCTTTAATAGTCCACTGCTGGACATGGCCTCTCCTTAGAAAGGCGGTTTTGGCCTACTATACCAGGCTGGCCAGACGGGTTGGTATAGGGTTTGTGTCAAGTTTTCCTTCTTTTTGCAGTGCTGGTGTCCTGGGTTGTTTTGTGCCCTTAGTCGGCTCTTACTACACCCACGGGATGAATTGGGGTAGTGACATTCCGTATTCTTAATCCGTCACTATACGGATATTCTATCAATAGTTATATTTAGACTGAGTTTTTATTAAGTGTCAACATTGCGTTTTAATTATGGTATTAACAGGGTTCAAGTTCTGCAATTATATACTTACTAGTTTATTCATTACTGTATATGCCTTCATGACTTTAAGTAAAACGGGATCTTAACGGGATGATAAGACCAAACATTAATAAAAACGGTGACATGCAAAATCGACGAAATTGAGGATAATTGTAAAAAGAGTAGTTCATTATGTTCTCTTGTGTCGTGTCTACCACATATCAATATCAAATACAATGATATTTGTGTTTGAGATTCCTGACAACTGTTGCAAGGAGGTTGTACTAAGTACCTATACCTACTTCTTTGCCTTGATTATTATTAATGTGTCATATTTGTTCACAGGACAAACAGAGGACGAAGGTTGTAGTAGCTTTGTATCCATTCAAAGCTATCGAAAGTGGAGATCTGTCTTTGGAAAAGGTGCGTAATATTTCTAAAATTCAACAGTTTTAATACATAAAGCATTAGTGTGTTTTGTTTTATTGAAATGTTTAGTAGAACGATTAATTGCAGTAACACACGTCTAAACCGCTTCATAAGCTTTATTATACTCGTAACTGCCCTCAAAGACACTCAGTTACTTTGCAGTGCAGATTTAGTTGCTGCGATTCCATTTTCCAGTTTACAAATTATATTCACTAATCCAATGTCCTTATGCAAATCTATGAACACGGAATTTAAAATTTTCCTAAGTATTTGCAGTAAAAATGCTGCTCCTAGGTGTATTTATGTATTGTATGCTGATATGGCGACAAATTAATAGACAATTTTGGCATTCATAATGGACTTTAGACATGTTTTGCTATTATAGTGGAATCGGCGAATTTTCAATTTAATTATTTAAAAGTTAATAGTTCATCGCATAGTTCGTCTCAATAAATTGATATTTACGTTTAAGACTCAATTTAATTTTTCCGAAATTGTCGAAGAATAGAATTGAAAGTATTCCATACATAATGGCCGTTAAGCATGATTACGCGATCAATCAGCCGTATCACTTTTGGGTTAAAGCAGTAGGCGTCGCGTACAAAAAGTTAAACACACAACTTAAAACAAACAATTACTTTATTGGTGTTATAAAGTAGATAGACAAAATTATATGAAATATTACGAAAGTTTTGATACATTTATAGTGCAGTTTTACTGAAATATTTACTATAATTATGTTGTAATGCAATATCGGAGGAAGCTCAACCTAAATGGCTTGCCCTATAACTGCATAATTTGTCCACTGCAAATTTTCTCGTATATATGTGGCAAATTTGGATACACATTTTCAGTGCGTTGCTTCGATTCATTGTCGAAGATAATCTCTGTGATTTTAGGTGAATGCTGCAAAAAGAAGGAAAACTTGACACAAACCCTATACCAACCCGTCTGGCCAGCGTGGTATAGTAGGCCAAAACCTCCTTTCTAAGGAGAGGCCTACGTCCAGCAGTGGACTATTAAAGGCTGTTGATGTGATGATGATGTTGTAATAATAATTATATTTTTGTAAAGTTTCCGACACCTTTAATACTATTGTTAAACCTCTTTGGTTTCACTGAAATTATTTAATAACCAACGGTTGGTTTTCCATTCCCGATCAACTCCATTGACAACACATTTTTATTACAGGGTGCGGAATACGAAGTTATAGATGACTCGCAAGACCACTGGTGGAAAGTAAAAGACGAAAATGGGTACGTACAGATATAAATTAAAAATATTAAAGCTGTACTCGAAAGGTTTAGGGTCCGACGACTGGATGGCGTAGTGGTTTGTGTAACGGACTGCTATTCCAAAGGTCGCGGGTTCGATTCCCGCTCAAGTCAAACATTTGTGTGCATGAACATTTGATGTTTGATTTGGTCTGGGTGTTTCTATGTATAATATGTATGTATTTACAAAAAAAGAAGTATATATGTATTTATATCACTTGTCTAGTACCCATAGTACAAGCTCTGCTTAGTTTGGGACTAGATGGCGTTGTGTGTATGTGGTAGAATATATTATATTGTTGTTATTATTTTTACTTGTTTCAAATTATTCAAATTTATTTCAAAATCTATCTGTCTGTCGCATCAAGATCTATTCCAAAATGAAATTTTAGTTTTAATTTCTTATAAATATTTACATGCAGTTTGGTAAATAAGATAATATTATTGAGTATGTCAGCAGTGGACTATTACAGGCTGTTGATGATGATGATGATTGAGTAAGATAACCGAGTCCATATTATGTATCCATTTTTCTTTACAGTCAACCGTGAATCATTCTCGAAGTTTCAGTTATGTATCTTTCCAAAGCCAAACACTATCCAATTTAGTGTAAGTTGTGTTATTCCCTTGCATTCGTCATAATTTCATATTGTAATAGAAAATTATTATTAGTTTTATTAGAGAATTAAAATATATTTGAAAACTCCATATACAGACTTTAATATGGCTGCCAATTGTCTCCGCGTGGAGTGCGGAAGTTATAAAAAAAGACAATCTTATCACAAAATCTGAATACCAATGACTAAGTAGCCAACGTGCTAGAACCTGTTGAATGTCTGAATGTATTTACGAAACGAATCTTTGTAATATTTAGAAATTACATTTTATGTCGGTACCTACATTTATTGTAAGTTTCTATAAAAGTAGTTTAATTTTTAAATAAAAGGAAAGTTTTCGAAATATAATATGTACATTTCTCTTTCCTTTTTCAGATCTGTTGGTTACATTCCAAGTAATTATGTTAAGGAAAAAGAAACGATTGGACTGCAGAAATATGAGTAAGTTCTGTAATTTTAACAAAATTATATTATTGTAGCGACGTATACGGCTCGGAGTATTGATATGACGTTGGTGATGACACTTTAGTGTCGGGTATACCTACATTAACACGAGGAAAAATTTTATTATTGTATTAACAATTTCTATTTTGAATAGGCCTCTTCTTCCTTGTATATCACAAATGTATTTAATAGAATGCGGTGGTTAAATTATAAAGACGTAATTTCCAAATTTACTTTAGGTATTGGTATTATAAATGAATGACAAAATGTGGTTTTTGAGTTATCAGATTAAATACTTTACAGTACGAAGTTGAAAACTTCTTGATTTTACCCTGCTAATCTTGCCAGATGCTTCATACTTACATACTTCATACTTTACATTACATTATTTTTAACGTGTTTTCAATAGATATCTCGTAATTCTTTTTTCTATTTACCGTTTTTCGGAAAAGAAATACTCAGTTGACGTTTTAGAGTTTTTAGGATACGTATTGTAAATACATATTATCATCAGGTAATATAATACATTTAAAAAAATGTAAAAGCGCATCAGTCAAAAACGCCCTAAAAGATAATTTTATTATGGTGTTTTTGTACTAAGATATTAAGTATTTGTAATAAGATAAATAAAAATCAAACTAGATTATCCTGATTGGCTTCTCCAACGCCTTTAACACTGTTAACCACGATATCCTTATATCTATCCTCACTCACTAAATGGTCTCATCCGAAGCACTGGAATGGTGTTCATCTTATCTTCGTGGATCTCGGCAGTCGTTCCGCATTGATGAACCATCATTACGTTAGTGTAATCTTGGTGCTGGCGTTCTACAAGGTAGAATTTCATCACCTCTCTTTTGTCTCTTTTTTCCACCTCATTACTCTTAATCTTCAGTGTGAGTATCATTTGTATGCGGATGACCTTCAAATTTAATTACACACCGGCCTCAATTTAGTAAAAGTAATCAATAACATTAACAGTGATTTGGAGGCTCACTGTATCGGCTTAAGAACTTCCTACCATTTACTACCAAGTTAATGCTCGTACAGGCTCTGATCTTCCTAATCATCGATCCTCGACCTGAATGCAGATCTACTCAACAAACTTGACCGACTTCTCAACAACTGTGTTCGATACATCTTCAACCTCCGCAATTACTACCATGTGTCCATTTATGAAATCCAACTGTCATGGTTACCTAAACGACCTTGACTACACTTTCTTTCTTTTTGGTTTCTTCTTAATAATCTCACAGCTCCCACTTATCTCACTTCACAGCTTAAACTACTATGTTCCAACCATGACAAAGATCGTTGCTCCACTAATAATCTTTTACTCTTATGTCCAATACACACTTCTTCTCTTGTTCATTCTTCTTTTGCTGTTCAATCTATGCTACTATGGAATGCGTCCCCTTGGAGATCAGGATGTCAACAAATCGTGACACGTTAAAAGCCAAAGTCCGAGAACTTTATAAGAAACATCTAGCAGAATTATCCGCATGACCGCGTCACTTCAGATACTATTATTGTATATATTTATATTATAGAAATTATTGTATATATTTTATTCTGTATGTATATTACAAAAATATATATATTTGTGCATTCGTCTATGTAGGTACTTTTAAATGGCACTATTAACTGTTATTTTTAAAGGAAATAAATAAATAAAATAAAAAAATTTTTATATTTATAAATGTTTCGTACATAGCTTCGTTTCATTGTACATATGCAACTGCCATGTCCCTTACTGATCCATCTAAAGGTTGACTGGTAGATAATGCCATGTGGCATTAAATCCGCCTTGTGCAAAATGTAGCGCAAGAAGCGTAAAAAAAAACGTGGATAACTAAAGCAAACTTTAACCTAGATGACCACTCCCTTTTTAGATAACTGTAAAATGTATTGCGAAAAACATTGGTCTTCAATTCTTTTATTAACGAAGTTTGCAAAAAAAAAAAACAAAACAGGTAAGACAAATAAAGGGATAAAAAGACAACAAATAAGACAGCTAAACGCTTTGTGGTGTGGGCGATGGTTATGGATGCTAGAGTTTAATATATTTTCCGAATATAGATGACATCTCTAGTTATGTGGTATTTTGGTTATTTTTTGTAATCATCATCATCATCATGATCAACAGCCTATAATAGTCCACTGCTGGACATAGGCCTCCCCTTAGAAAGAAGGTTTTGGCCTACTATACTACGCTGGCCAGACGGGTTGGTATAGGGTTTGTGTCAAGTTTTCCTTCTCTTTGCAGTGCTGTTGTCCTTTGTTGTTTTTTTTTGTAATATTAAATTGAATCTCTCTCTCTCATACAGTTTTTGTCTGAACATCACATAATAAATAATTTGTATGAATTTGCAGGTGGTATGTCGGTGAGATGTCTCGCCAACGCGCCGAGTCGTTGCTCAAACAAGAAGACAAGGAAGGATGCTTCGTGGTCCGCAACTCTTCCACTAAGGGCATGTACACACTCTCGCTATACACCAAAGTGTAAGTATAATCCTCTCAAAAATTACCGCACAACGTTAAACTATAACGGTTATAGAAGAATATTATAGTGTTTTTCAGGGTAATAGTAACGTAAAATAGCTTAATGGTTAGTCGTGTACTAGGATATACATCTCGAGTTCTGACTGCATTAGCCTTGCAATGTTATGTTGTGTAAGATCATAACGTTGCAAGGCTATGCACTTCAAGCCGAGGTCAATAATTGCTGAGATTACGATTAGATGAGGACATCTAGGAGCTTTCAAGATTGCCATCGTAATAATCCTTATTTATATCACTTAGAGTATATTATTTTTTACCGGTTTTTTACCAGCCGCAGAAGTTAATTCACTGTAATGTCGATACTAATCTTCACCGATACTGATCTTACACCACACATCAATAAACCCATATGGTTAATCCATTTGCGGTGTAAGATTTTATCGCTAACAGTCATAAACTTATCATCTTTACATTTTAAAAACGGTTTCCAGCCCAAATGGGGCAACTCCTATTTCAGAAATGAGGAAAGAGATGTCTTCACGATTACCTACAACTTTAATTGTGATTACAAACTTTAATCACACATGAATAATATGTTCATGATTCTCTTAGAGTTCAGGGATCATGACAGACTTGATTCAGCAGGTTCTTAATAGGTAACCCTTATTTTCCGTCCTTAAAGCGAATCAATCAATTGAAACAACATCATTACATCACAGTAACAGCATTTAATAGATCACTGCTGGACATAGGCCTCTCCTTAGAGAGGAGGTTTTGGCCAGCTATACCAAGGTGGCCAGACAGGTTTGATACTTTTAATATTGTGAGATCCTTGACGCAGAATAAAGTTGTTACCGTGCGTCGTTAGGATAATTAATAATTACTAATCATCATCATCAGCCTATCGCAGTCCACTGCTCGACATAGGCCTCTTCCATTGCACGCCACTTAGATAATTACTAATAATGTTCGGTAAACCGGATGGTTAATAAAAGCTTAGAATTATTAGTGATACAAGTAACCGTATCTAGGTGACAATTTCTTTGTACAAATGCTTCAAATTAATCTTACTTTCTTATTTTGTAAAAGGTTTTTATTAACCTCTACAAATACCCACAATTCTTAGATCATTCTCAATTTTTTGTTATCTAAAGTTTCTTAAGGAACTCTCTTCTTATATCTCTTAACATAAGCGGTAATTATATTTAACTGTTTATTGTTTTTATTATAAGACTAATAATTTGTGCTGCTTATATTCCAGTATCGACCCACAAAAGCGCTACCATTCCGGCACAGAACACTACCACTCTCAAACTAAACATTACCATATAAAACAGAATGCCCGCGGGGAATTCTACTTGTCCGATAAACATTGCTGCTCAAGCATACCAGAACTGATAAACTACCACAAGCATAACAGCGGTGGATTGTGTTCTCGACTTAAAACATCGCCCTGCGATAGACCAGCTCCTCCTACTGCCGGATTTTCACATGGTAAGAAACTCCCTTTAACTTTTAATAAATGCGAAACTAATGTGTTTACGGGAATTAACACGCTCACGATAAGTGGTACTAAGGCTTGAAATGCTTGGCCTTTGAAATTCCTGAAGTTTCGACCAGGTTGCACTGGCCGTGGTCACAGTCAGCCTATTGTAAACATACTTAATTATAAATGATGAAACGCGATAGTTTAAAAGTTAGAATAGAAAAATAATAGTACCTAGTCCAAATAGTAATGTAATAGGAAAATGGTAATAGTGTATGATGTGTCACAAGTTTAGTAGGGTGGTTAAGGAAGACTTGGTAAAAAAGAAACATCCTTTATTGTTTTCTTTTTCTAAATATTGTACTTTTTTTGGCCCTTTCTGATCTCTAATCCTTCAGGCTATGATGGCATTGCTGCATAATTATGATATAATAATTAATAAATGTCTTGCGCCTGTACAAATTAAATGAGTAAAATAGTACGAGATGTAAGATAAAGATGTATTGGTATTGTGCATTTTTTTCATTTTTATACCTAGTTCTAAAATTGTTCTATATAATCGATTACTGCCATAAAAATAATAACTTAAAGTTAAAATTAAAATATACATAATTAATTCACAGAAACGTAATGTTATGATGTTCAAAATGTATAGAGGAAAAGCTAATTATATTGTTATTTTAGACAAATGGGAGATCGACCCGTCAGAGCTGGTATTGAACGAGGAGTTAGGCGCGGGGCAGTTCGGTGTGGTGCGCCGTGGCAAGTGGCGGGGAAGAATCGACACGGCCGTCAAAATGATGAAGGAGGGTACCATGTCCGAAGACGATTTCATCGACGAGGCTAAGGTTATGACGTAAGTTTATACATATCCATCTTGCATCTGGGGAAGTTTTAAAAGAAATACATACTACAGGTTTGTATTTCTTATAAAACTTCCCCAGTACGTGTATGTGAAATAATTTAATATAGTATAATATTCTTACACATTTCAAACATGGCCGTCCCATCAATGTAACTAATACTGCTGATAAACATACCTATATATTTCTGAATACATACATGTTATAGATAAGTACACCCAGACACAGAACAAATGACCGTGCAAAAAAATAAATCAATAAAAAAATCTAAATACAATATTACATAAATATTGTATTTATTTTGTCAATTAATATATCCTTTAGGAATATAACTTTTTTTTAGTAGTTAAAATAATCTCTACGGTCTTTTGTCCGTTTTGTACAAGATGTATGCAAATTTATTATTATTTTAGGTTATTGATTCCCCCTTTTCACCCCTTAAAGGGATGATTTCTGTGATTAAAACTACATTATGTAGTTTCCCGGGACTCTTGCCATCTCTGCACAAAATTTCATTTAAATCGGTTTAGCAGTCTAAGCGTAAGCGATTTAACAGACAGACAGACACACTTTCGCATTATAATATTAGTATGTATAGAAATAATATTAATTAGAAATAAATAGGTATTAAATGCAAATATATTAATAATTATATTATTTATTTCAGCAAACTTCAACACCCGAACCTAGTGCAACTGTACGGCGTTTGTTCAAAACACCGGCCGATTTACATAGTAACGGAATACATGAGAAATGGCTCTCTATTTAACTATCTGCGACGTACAATGCCAGATCAGTTAGGTCCTGCCGTCCTACTCGACATGTGCATACAGGTTAGTACTACAATACCACATAGCCGATTTCATTTTTTTGTGTTCCTCTTACTTTTCAACCCGAAGATAGTCTGGGTATAGACTCTTCAATAAAATATTTTGTTGTATTAAGATGTATCCAAAACTCAAAATGTATCCCGAATATTATTACACAAGTTTTCACTAAATATTCTGTTTAGCACCATTTACTGAAAGTTAAAAATAATTACAGGGAACATAAGATTTCAATAGATACTATTGATAAACATCAAGGATAAACCGTGTAAAGTCTTTTTAGAAAATAATTTGAATGCATTGTAACTTTTAAAGTTTAACTGGTATTTGGGTGTACCTTTCGAATCACTTTATAAAAATAAATCTTTCTTTTTTTTTTTAGTTTATATTATAAAGACTTGTAAGTACATTTAAAAGACTTGTAAGTACATTTTAAAGACTTGTAAAAAATATTTGTCAATTTCAGGTTTGCAAAGGCATGGCTTATTTGGAAAGGCATAATTATATTCATCGAGACTTAGCTGCAAGGAATTGTTTGGTTGGAGACGAAAATGTCGTCAAAGTAAGTTAGAAGTTTTTAAAACTTTTGGCATGTAATTTTAGATTTTTATTTATATAAAAAATGATAAAATATGTGTACATTCCATGCCTATAATATTAATAAGATTATTGTAAGTATAAATGATATATAAAATAAAACTTAATTTTTAATAGTTGCCGAAAAAGTTACTTAAGCTATTAAGTTGTATGCACATCTACGTTCCGTGTATTGACGGATTAAGAATACAAAGTGTCACCACCCTATTATATTATATATTATATTATATATATTCATCCCGATATTCATCCCGTGGGTTTCGTAAGAGCTGACCTCTGAAGTGAAGGAAAACTTGACACAAATCCTATACCAACCCGTCTGGCCAGCGTCGAATGGTAGGCCAAGACCTCCTTTCTAAGGAGAGGCCTATGTCCAGCAGTGGACTGTTAAAGGCTGTTGATGATGATGACATCTACTTTTAGCAACTGATAATAAGCCTCAAATATCACTTTTAGTTTACAACTCAACTCAAAATATAAGTAATACACAATGTTTTTCAAAAATACAGGGCCATTTTAAATTATACACTTCTTATTTTAACGTTCAAAGCTAATATATATAGCTTTAAGAAGACCAATATTAGAAAAGTTTGTATTTCGAAGTACAAAAAAGTTAATCAAAGGAATTTTGTTAACAATTCTCTTTCCACTCGTTGTTCCTAACGAATATTTGTTTTAGGTAGCAGATTTTGGACTGGCGCGGTATGTGTTGGACGATCAATACACCAGTTCTGGCGGTACTAAATTCCCTATCAAGTGGGCACCTCCCGAAGTACTCAATTATACACGATTCTCCTCTAAATCCGATGTCTGGGCATTTGGTAAGTGGTATTTAAAATGGAATATGCATGTCTTTTTTTCATTTTTTTTAAACGTTTCTACTAGTTATTGCATTACCAATAATAAATTTAACACACACGAAATATATATTACTGATCTAAATAAAATACAGCCCTAATTTTCGGGTGATTTAAATGCGGCCATTTTGGCGCGCTTATTCTGTGACGTCAGATTACAGAGTGTGACGTCAGAGTTCGAGGAACATTGTGAACCAAACATTTCCTTGTTAGTCAACAACAAAATGTTTGGTTCATAAAGTTACTGAAAGTTACAAAAGTGAGTGATAATCAACTTATTACCATGGGAAAGCACAAAAGTTTATTAAAGATATTGTAGTAGTTGTAGTATGGTACTGTCGATGGAGTATAATACGTCACAAAACCATGTTCGGCTAGTACTTAAAATAATTATATTCTCAATATCTAATACATAAGTAATAGGGAATATGCACGTGACACCAAAATGGACAAAATATTTTTATTTGTAATTTTTATTGCTAAAAAAAGATACCCATACAATTATTTTTGAAATTTATTATAATTTAATAGTGAAATTTAATCTTTTGGCTTTTTTAAGATTCCCTCGCAAATTTCTAAAACGCAACGCTATTGGTTGAATAAAACGTGACGTCAACCTACACTATCAAGAGTGTCAACAAGTTGTGTGTATTTATAATATTTGGTTTCTGGTGATTATTTGTTTCATTTTAAGTTAATAACTAATACGTTTTCAGTGTTAAATTATTAAATTTCCGTGTAGAAAGACTCAACACAATGACTGAATATACTTTGTCAGGTGCAGTTTTGATATTATTTGGGCACAAAGGAACGGCACAATATTTATAATAAGTTTTTATTGGCTTTTCCATGGTAATAAGTTAATTTTTATCACTCACTTTTTTAACTTTCACAAACTTTGTGAACTTCACTCCGTTGTTGACATCGAATTCGTCTGAAAGTGTAATCTGACGTCACAAAAAAAGCGCGCCAAAATGGACGTGTTCAAATTGCCCCAAAATTATAGTGATTTTAATAAATATTTTTTTGCTTAACGGTTTATATTTCGGATGTGTTATATTTATTTTTGGTAATGTAATAACTAGTAAAAAAAAAATAAAAAAAATACATGCATATTCCCTATTATCCATAAAAGTATGCCTATGCTTCCCTATGAAAACATATATTTACTTAACTTATTAGAGTAAGAGGGAATTTCTAAACTATTTTAATTTACCTTCCTAATCTTATTTCTGGGTTTCAGATTGAAAAGAATAATATGTATTAATTAAACAATAATAACTTATGATCATCATAAACACGTCTATTTTAGGAAGATCATCTGATTGTGCTTTGACAAAACCGGTTTCAGTCATTCTTCACTAGGATTTAATACACAGAAAACTAATAACGTAATATGAAACAACCGCGAAACAATACAAAATAAAAATCACCAGAAATCATACACAACTTGTTGACCAGAAGACGTTGAGTGAAATTTGACGTCATGTTTTGTTTCACCAATACCGTTGCATTTTAGCAATTTGCGAGGGAATTAAAAAAGAAACACTTTTTTAATGATTAAATTTGGTAACTTTTTTTGACAGTAAAGTTTACAAATGAAAATGTTTTGTCCATTTTGGAGTCACGTGCATATTCCCTATTGTATTAGTGAAGGTAGTGCACTTGTTTTGACAATAATGCTTTCATTAACAGAAATACAGTATTATAAGCTGATTCTCTACAAGCCAACCATTGGGTGATGTGGTGAAAACAAGTAGCATTTTCGTTGCAGTTAGCTTTATACAAAACTAGTTTTTGACCGCGGCTCCGCCCACGTAAATGTAATCACTGTAAAAAGTAGCCTATGTCTTTCCTTAAGAATGAAAGTACATATCTTCACACCTAATTTCCTCTAAATCGGTGTAGCGGTTATTCATTCCCCATACAAACTGCCATCCCCCTTACCACTCCATTTTTTCTCCTATGTCCTTTCCCGGGACTCGGACGATCTCTACATAAAATGTTATCTAAATCGGTTCTGCGGTTTAAGCGTGAAGAGTAACAGACAGACAAACACTGCACAGTTGGCGTAGTGGTTTAAGCGGTCGCTACGCCCCTTCCTACTATGCTAACTGTTGTGGGTTCGATCCCCACATGGGACGACATTTTATGTGATCCACAAATTGTTGTTCTGACTCTGGGTGTTCTTTGTGTCTCCGTTTCATCTAGTTTGTAAAGTCCCCCACAACATAGGATATATTCCTATTGCGGGAGTTTTTTTTAATAAGAGAAAAAAAGGTCTTTTTTTTAATAAGAGAAAAAAGATAAACACTTTCGCATCTATAGTACATACGTATGTATTAGTATGGTATCATATCACAGATTATCATAAATTCATACGTTTTATTAATATTCATAGACGTGGACGGAGTAAAAGTAACATTTATAATTTTACAATAATGGAACCTTTGTGTGTACATGCAAAACATAAAATGCTATTTTCATTTTCAGGAGTGCTAATGTGGGAAGTGTTCACATGCGGTAAAGTACCTTACGGACGAATGAAGAACTCTGAAGTTGTGGACATGGTCGTGACGCGGCGACAGGTACTCGAGAAACCCAAGGGCTGCCTCAACGAAATATACAATGTGAGATAACATTTTCTAGAAAGCATGCAAAGACTTATTAGAATTACGTCTAAAATGGGTGACGGTTGCGTTACCCCGTCGAGAATCAGTTAAGTACTCGGTATTAACTAGGACCGACGCCCGCAGGTGATGCGCATGTGCTGGCGGCACACGCCGGAGGAGCGGCCGTCGTTCCGCGTGCTCAAGGACGACCTCAGCGTCATCGCGCACAGCGTGCTGGCCGATTGACTGCGCCTGCTGCTGCAGCTGCTGCGTCCCGCGCCCCCCCCGCCCGCCTCGCCGCGCCCGCCCGCCGCCGCCACGCTGCCGCGCCGCCAGCCCGTGTGACCCCCCTCCCCACCCGCACCTACCGGCACCAACTGACCTATCTGCCGTGTGTCCATTGCAGTGCTCGTTTCATTGAACGGGAAAACCCTTTGTAAAAAGATCTACCGTGAGACGTAGACGTATATATTTTTATGGTTTCGACCGCGATACTCGCGCTTCGAGGTTGAAGCTCGGCTTCACCTTTAACGGTCGTTCAGGGAGGATTAAACGATAGGCACTAGTGTCGTTGCGTAGTTATCGACGGTTGTTGTTGTACATGCGTATACCGTGTAGTTGTTGAGTGTATTCGTTCGCAGCGATATGAACCGAACGGGTCTAGGGATACCGACAATAATTGGTATAAATTCAATGACGCTCTCAGTACCACGGTAGCAATGGACAGAGACGCGTGAGTAATCGTAGGCGCCGTCCACCGCCACAGTGAGTTTCCGATATAAATAATAGTAAGGTTAGCTTTGTATCACTAATTTTGAAGTAGTCCCAAGAATGAAAATTATACAGGCAGATAGCATTTGATTCCATATCTACAAAAAATAGCTATAGTCCATCTAATCTAAGAGGTACCGTTTGACATTTCATACTTTTCAAGACGAAACAACTTTGTATAGGCGTAACTCAAACAATTGCAGTAATTATTTCTGTAAAACCAAGAAAAGAAAGAAGAAAAGAAGTTATGAAGAAATGTTTAAATGACTAAATTTAAATCTTTGAAATAAAGCAAAATAACCAATTTATACACAATAGATGTTTTTTTTCCAAACTTAGTTTCAAAGTCACGTAGTTAGGTCCTTTACCATAGTGTTGCGGCTCTTCAAATTCACTTGAATAAGAATAATCGTTAAAATGTATGAAAAATCGAATTTATTAATACGGATCATTTTTAATCTAGGCGTCTTAGTGTTTAATTATACTTAAAATTCATCTGACATCCAACTGTCAAAGAAAACGCATAATTAAAATTAAAAGAATGTAAGTAAAGTAATTTTAAATAAATCTTTGTAGGCAAAATTGCTTGTGTCCAAGTCTAGTGTATACTAAGATTTACTGGTAAAACCTGTGATATGCCATTACACAGGCTTTTATAGTAACATACATAAATCTGTGAAGCTGTAATCGATTAGTGTCTGCTAAGAAATGAAATCGATATCTCTTAAGAATCGTATATTATAGCAATCTCTTTTTTACCCCCATCACTATACTTCATTCTGTCAGAATTTTCAAACGGTACCTCTTAGATTAGATGGACTATAAGAATAAGCTAAATGAAAACTATTAAATGTTTACGTATATGGTATGTTTTGTTAGCTAAGTCGTTTGTTTGTATATAGCTACGACTTTAGCCACGAGTAGATAAACTTCATCATACAACCTCATATCATTACCCATGGTAGTTTAATTGTAAATAATATACTATAGCTATTTAATGTACTAGTCGTTCCATATCAGCGACCTTACAGTTCGTGTACATGCCGTCGATATTCTCTTTACACAGTATGATTTCTGATGTTCCTATACTAGGCGCGTTTTCTTTTAACGGTGTGACATTGATTTGATGAAAGTAATGATATTTTTGGCTTACAGTTATTTTACAAATATTGTCACAAAATCATTCCATATAATTATATGCATAAATTTTTTGTACATTCCTTTAAAAAGTACTAGTCATTTAGTCAATATTAAAAAAAAAACAAGCCACAAGCACAACATTGCGCGTGAACCTTATAAATCAAAATTATATCAAAGGAACTTTAGTGATTGGGTAAATGTAACCACTTTAAAGCTATTGATTGCGTTTAGCTGTATATATAGTAATATTCGTAGACCACTGGACATTCTTGTATCTTGTAATAGAGATATTGGGTTACAATTTACTTGACACTAAGGTATACTGAAATGGTGGTGACACTAAGAAAATGTGCCAATTATGTATAAATCCTTATTAATTTTAGGCTTCTACGACTGAACAAAAAATCTCAATAAATAATTTTAAGTACTTTTTTCTGGTTTGTAATGACTACTAAAATGCGAGTGACATTTGATTAACCAGTATTTATGAAACATTTTACAAAATCGTATTTTAATTCAACTAAGTTTTAAGTAACTGTATTTTTTGTGATAAATTTTGATTTTTAATACTTTTTCGATATTGTAATAATAATAATAAAGAAAAGACTACTTGTATTGCTAAACTTTACAACCACATGTAACCAATGCAACATAGGACTGACGATTGTGCTGTAACATATGAGCGACACACGATAGGAACGATATAAATATTGCATGTTAAACTTTCATGCACTGCCTACTTCCTTGCGATATCTATATCATTCTTACTAACTCGTGGATGACATATTACTTTTCGCTCAAGCTCAATGCACTAAATGTCCCTGTTTGATGTAAATCGCTACACATTGTACAGCGAGCGTGTTTGTATAACTGTTTTGTAAACTATTAAGTCAAGTAAAATAATTATTATAATAATGTCTTTTTTTTTGTCTCTTACCTTTCACCTAACGTAGAATAGTTGACTATTATTTTCTTACTGCGACTTTATGCCCGGCAAAAGTCACGAGTCTATGAAGCGAACTGTTTATAGTTTACAAATGTTACCAGAAAAAGAAAATTCCAATGACACAATATTGGCAATACGCAAGCTCTAAATAATCAATCAAAGTAAAAACAAAAAGATTTTCTCTTCAAAAAATATATTGTGAACTGTTTGACTGCACGGATGGCGTTGTGGCTTGAGCGGTCGTCACGCCGCGCCGTTTACTACTACGCTGAGTGTTGTGGGTCCGATCCCCACATGGGACGACACTTTGTGTGAGCCACAAATTGTTGTTCTAAGTCTGGGTGTTCTTTGTGTCCGTTTCATGCATTGATATTATACTTACATAGATGAGTAATTACCGCCTAAAATCGTTGCTACTGCACATCTGTCCACAGGCATATGCGTAGCAAACGTCAATTCAGTGTTCAATGTGGCGTCAACCGAGTTGAACATAGCGACACATGACAGTAACAATCGCCAAAATGGGTAAATGCGTAGTGAAAGAATGCGATCCAAGGTCACAAAACCATAATAAATCATGCGGAATTACTTATCACGTGTAAGTTTATGGTTTTTGTATTGATAATATCGTAAATAAGGCTATAATTGAAATAAAACATTGATAATTGTAATTTAGAATCAGTGTTACCATTAAAAAATCATTTTTGTTTTCCCACATTAGTGGGAGAATTTATAATTTATGAAATAATATGCTTTATACTGTTTTTAAACATTTTGTCAATAATAATAAAATATAGAAAGAACGGTAGTTGTTAGGGCTGAATCGATCACTTTTTTAGGGACCCGTTGAACGTTCACCTTCTGCCAAGCTCGCAGTGCTGGAGACTTTTGTATAAAAGAATTAATTCATTCATTTATTCATTTTTCTCAATTAATTATCAAATATAAATAACAATTGTACAAAAAAAAAAATATATAAAATAAAAAAGGAAATAAATATAAATAAAAAAAATAAAAAACAAAAAAAAATATATACATATATATATATTTTTATTTTTTTTTATTTGTATTTTAAAGTATTAAAAGAATTTGCATTACACCCTGGGGATTATTTATTATCAGTACAAGTTGATCATTCACTTTTACTATTAAATGCCATTATTTATACATAGGTAAAAATAAGATTGTATCATGAAAGTAAAATATTCACACAAACTTATAAAAAAGAGTCTAAAAGATAATTGTAAACAAAACTGATGCTTCATAGCGGAGTTTGATTTTACACTGAATATAAACCCTTTTAACCAAATATTTCTAGTTATTTTATTATTTATACCTATTCCATTCAATTCGAAATATATTATTTAAAATATTTAAATTAATTTATTTTATTACAAAATTGTTTTAAAAAAAATTGTTTCTTGGTTGTTATGGGTAAAATTTCATACGGTAGTTAACACTGGCCCACCATCGTAAAGTTATGTCTTTGTCTTTGTCTAATCCGAGCGATGGTATTGTTCTTGTCTCGCGTGTAAATGAGACATAAATATGTTTACTTTCAAATGTTTCGTGGTATCGAAGCTACGTCGTCAAAGTTCAAAAGTGGTTACACTTTTTTCGACGTGTGATAATGAGGTTTGCTTCTCTAGTGTTGTTTTAACTCAATGGTTTCATGTATGTAATGTTGTAAAGTCCCTCGCGACACAGGATATATTCCTAATGCGGGAGTTGTCTTTTATAAAAGAAAAGAAGAAAGAAAGTAATGTTAAAAAACAAATTAATGCGCATTTGATATTAATGACTTAGTAATAGTATGTTCCTCAGAGTTTCAAGCGAGGCCATACTACGACCTTATAAAATATCGGTGTTAAGCAATTCTATCGTTGCTTTTCGCCGATTCCAAACCACAAGGAGGGACTTGTGGAGGTACAGAGCACTCAAATGGGGTCAAGTGCAACGGCACTTGTGTCTCTTGAGGTGTTCATAGACGGCAATAGTTCCCATCAGGTGACTCGCCTTCTCGTTTGCCCTCTATAGCATAAAGAAAAGATATAAGTTTTCTCTCATCATATCTGTGCTCTGGTGGACGCAGAGACCGGGTGCCTCGACAGAGCTATACAACAACAATTCAGGTAGTAAAACCGTATAAGCTTCTGTTTAACTGATGATCCTTTTTTTTTACGGGTGGAAGCCCCCTTGGGCCGTTACCCCACCGGGGTTTGCGGCGGGGTGGTATGTCGGAATCGGACAAACTAAAACCACACGGTGTGCCACTCTGGGCCTGTAATATGAGTGATCCCCGCTGTTATTGAGACATTCAGACCCCTCCTAAAATGCAGCAATGGCGCGGGTACTAAACTACCTTCTGGTACATTCTTTATTTAGGCGACGTCCGGCACGTGGCTGACCGTTATGGCGGGTGGAGGGGAAAATTCGTACCGTCCACCCGCGGCCACATTCAGGGTGGCATGAGGCGCTGGTAAGCGAGACTCAGCCTCCCGGTTCGTCGGCGGCAAATTGGGTCCGAGTGGAGATCATCCTCGAGGGCCCTCACTGCCGCCTCCTTCTGCGAGATAACATCTTCGCAGAAGGATGCGACCGCGGTAAAACAATTGTCACTACCGGCCATGGAGCGTATGACGGTCGGTAGCGAGAGATCCTCTCCAATGACAGCAGTAAGGACTCGACGCTGCGTCTGAGGGCGCGCCGTATTCTGGGCGGTCAGAGCCGCACACAGGTTCACCGTACAATGATATTGACCGGACAAACCTCGTGTACAGCCGTCTCGTCTGGATCCACCCAGATTAGACAAAAGTCGCCCAGGGCAGACAGCGCCGACCAGTTTTGGAGCAAGCTGTCGGAAGGCTTGTCCAAGAGCAACCTCCCGTCGAGGATCTGGGCTTACGGGTGGCCCTGGTTGGTCCTCGTATCGGTTCAAGCCCAGATATTTCAACTGAGCCTGAACCGATACGAGGACTGAGTTGACAACGATTGTGGCGCCAGTGGGAGACCCCACACGGCGCCACGACGGGGCCCATGTAATAAAAGAGATCCACTTATCCTTATCCACGATACACGACGGTACGCTCCTCTAAATAGTCTGCAACTAAAATAGAGTGCTTCCCTGATGCAGCTGAATAACAGACTATTGAATGCATTGGCGATATCCAACGACACCGCCAACAGCACGCGAACAGCTCACCGCGTCTTCAGTCACGGCACTCAGGCGCAGCACAGTGCCAACCGTCGAACGGCTTCAAAAACCGAATTGGACGTCCGACAGATCGGTGTCCAACTCGTAGAGGTGGCGGACGATGTAGGCAGAGAGTACCCTCTTAAAACATTTTACCCACCTCGTCCAACAACAAGATGGTCCTGTAGGCCGCGACCGAATCAGCAGGCCGTCCAGAGAGGACCAGCTTTCCGCTCTTTCAGCACTCAGGGAAACGTTCTGACGCCAAGCTAGCGTCAAGCACCTCCCTAAGACGATGCTTGATGTGACTAAGTTGAGTAATCAATAAATGGGAGGCTTTTTTAAATAGTTCGCAAATTATTATAATCGTGGTCCCTCAGAATCAGAAGCTTATACTCGTAGAAGTGCTGCTTAGTGTCACCGTACGTCGACAATACCGATCAGAATAGGTAGTTTAAACTAGTAGATTAGGTTAGAGATTACTAATAATCTCTAACCTAATCTACTAGTTTAAACTTAGTTTAGACTCAGAGAGCCTAAGCTCTCTGAGTCTCAGTCTCTCTGACTTAAAGACAGGGAAATAGTTTCATGACAAAATTTTATCAAATGTTTCTAAGTAGACAAATTTTACCTAACGATAATATTACTCGTATGTTGTGGCTCTGATAAGAAAATCAAAAGTGGAAATATCGTCTGATGTTACGAATGTTCACTACTCTGTAGACTAATATGTATAATCTTTGCTTATCGTTACGAGATCGTGAGCTGTGACCTACATGGTACATACAGAAAGAATATGAGGCTATCGATTTAATAGTGTCCGGAGGGTCACGCGGCTTTGTAACTTATTTTTAGAAATGAAGATAATTTACAATAAAAAATAATATAGCAGCGGATGGATGAGAACTGCCTAAGACCGGGATAGTTGGCGCTGCTCAAAGGAGTCGACTCCTTGGAGTCCTTAGTTCAGCAATGGGCGACGATAGGGTGGCGCCGACGATTTAACTAATGTATATTTCGAAGATGCTTTTACTACAAGTGAAGCCTGATTTAGAACGCACGAAGTCTTTGTTGAAAGCTGAATTAGAAGGACGCTTAAACGCTTTAAGTCAGTCGTAACTACTCAAAGCAAAAACTTGACAGGCTATTTAATTGAAATCATAAAAATCTCTTGTTTTCAAGACTGGTAAACAAAAGAAAGGCCAAGAATACAGAGTACAGATAGTTATCAATTATCAGCTTTTTTTTATTCTTAATTTATGACTTACCTACATATTTACATTAATTCGGTGAGCTTTTTAAAGCTAACTGCATAAACATAAAATAAATGAGAAATGTGTGTACACAATAGATCATTTATTTATTACTAGCATAATGTCAAAATACAACTTAACAAATATGTAACTTTGATACTTTTATAAAATCTCGAATAGGTTAAAACATTATAGCAGGTACTTAAACGTAAAACTACCTTAATAATATTATGTAAAGCAAGATATAACAGTGTTCATTTGATCTAATAATAATTTAGGTTAGGTACTGTGAATAAAATGGCACTGTTGTACTAAGTATTGTATCTGCCACTACAAATATTGAAAAAAAAAACAAAAATTTTGTTGTGGTTTACAGTTACAGCACAATTAAATTCATCAGATCAGTCAATTTAAATAGTGGAGAGAATATACCGGTTAATAACAAACTAGCAAAAGTAACATTTCCAAATAAAAAAAAACAATTGTGTTCAAGTTTCTTGATGGCAGTTTTATGTGTCTATTTAAAATATACCGCCAAATAACAACATTTAGAACGATTCAGATGTCTACCTCGCACGATTGACAGAACCACATAAATGTTTAACTAAAATGACCGGTTCACGAATTTTTAACTTAAAGACAACATCGAAATTATAGATAGAACAGTTTTTTACACATTTCTATAAGGTCGGATCGCTGGGATAGGATCCTAAATTTTTAGTAAATAAAATATAAAACGCTAACACGGTAGGTATATGTATTACAAGATTATGCTCTTAAAAATAGTCCTTGTGAAAAATGGTTATGGCAATGATATGATGAGAGTTAACCATGTCCACAATACGTGACAAATTTTCAGTTGATAACAGACAAGAGATCAGATAAGATGTTTTTAGATTAGATAGGTGCGTCATGGTGGCAACATTGTATCGTCAACTTTGGAGATAAAATAATATGTATCTATAAATAATTGAGATTTTAATTTTAAAATATTTTTTACAGTATGGATCATCTGTATCATCCAATATTGTTTTATAGTAAAAATAGATAATAATAATAAGTAATATTTAAATTTCTCAAGTATGTTATTGATACCGGTTTATCTGGAGCATGTTATAGCTCTTCATGGCATATCCTCTTACGGTTATTGCAAAACATAAAAGATACACTTGTAGATACACAATATAGATACTTAGATAATTAAAAGTTTAATAATTAGTACAAAGATCATTACAAAATACCAAGTCATTTGCATGTATGAAAGGATAGAATAAAAAAAGTCCCACATAGTAATCTTACACACAAATCTGAACTTGACTTGTACTTTACTTTTAGATAATTAATAGGTATTTGTTTTTAATGTATCAAACTACATTGAATACAGATTTTGCACCCAAACATGTGCAGTTTAGTGTGTATACATAGAGATCACTCTCAGATGACCAGGAAGGTAAAAATCTATTGATTCTTGTGTTACATACATACAAATTAATTTTTCATAAATAAATAAGTACCTTTCTATATCTGATAAATGGAGAAAACATAAAAAATTAAACATTTGTAAAGCTTAGTGATGGCAAAATAATTTATTAACATATAATGTACAATGACTAATTTCCTTTTTGGTGTTATGTTATGTTCTATGTTAACAAAATAAGCGTAAAAATAAGGTCATATTAAAGTAAAACACTTAGCTGGAATTAACATTTACAAAACTATATCTACTGATAATTTAAAGACACATGGTTTACATTAACAACAATTATGTAAATTAATGTGACATTGGCAATAAAGTTCAATATTGGCAATGATTTAACATAATATTAAGGTCACTACTTAAAAACATATTGTTAACAAAATTAAAGTATATATTAGACTCTATTAAAATAAGGTTGCAAATTATTAATTCTGAATTCAAGACAACAGTTTCAAGTACTTACTGAAGTAATAAGCTCTTGTAATTATTGAATATGGAGGTTGAAACAATTTATTAAACAGATTGAAACAATGTAGGTAATAAATTCGGTATTGAAGGCCAGAAAATTGGTATAGCATAGGTTTTCATTACTATTCATTGAATGTAGAGATATGTACACTGGTAGTGTGTATACAAATATCACTACTCTTATCATAATAGACAGAAATTTATAACTAAATTTTCAAATTCTATACAATATACCACTTACACAGAATCTTCATAAACAAGATTTATTAAAAATAATAAAGATATAATATTAAAATTCCCTGTTGAACACTTCAGACAAGACCAAGTAAATAGTTCATAATAGGTAAGAAATAGAAAAATAATAGATTATACTTTATATTCCATGTTAAACTTGCTTAATTTACCAATAATTTTGCTTCTTATGTTGTTACATACTTGTATAATAGTAATACAAGTTGTTTTTTTTTCTTATTAACTCACATAAGATATGAACTATAAATGATGTATATATATTATACAGTTATACCTTAATGAAAGACATGTCATCCATACTAGCAAAGTTCGTCATATTTAGCACTCCTGGGTTTACATATCGGTGGGCAGGATATCTGGTATCAGGTATTGACAAAGGTCCATTTCTGAGCTTACAAATGTCACTTTCTTTGAAGTATTTTCGTCAAGCCTAAAAAAATTTTGTTTATTAATTTTATCTATCAATGCATGAAATAAAATAAATAATTAAACATAATGTTGGCCAATGGTAATTCAGCCTATGAAGGTATTGCTTACTTATTTATTATTTAAAAAAAAAAATGCTGCACCCACAACATTGAATGAGTAGTTTGTATATAAATTTTAGAAATGACTGTCAGTGGATTTCAGTGATCTGATAACTATCCTTACCTGTCATATATTAATGAATAACAATTATGAGATCTTGGTGTAGTTCCCTATTTTCTAACTATCTATTTGTATTTATTTTACATGTACATATATTTATATGCAAATGAAAAGTTACAGCTTTCAAAACAGTCTCTAAACTAACTTACAGACAAACAAATACAGTAAAAACTAATAGGATTCCTAATTAAGGTTATGGAACCCTAAAAGAAGTGAGATAAGAGGTACTCTATGTTATTGTTAATGCTACAAAAGTATTGTAATGTGTGAAGAAGTCAAATCTCACCATCCTTTTATAACGGCCCAACATCCAGAAAAGAAAGCTGGTGCATTGATTATGAGGCATACTCCAAGTCTCTCTGGATAATGTCGACTAAGCAGCCATATCAAGTTTTTCAAGACCTGATAGTCCATACATGATAATGTGAAGTTACTCAAGTCAAACACAATGCATAAGTTGTCAATCACCTCCTCAAAACATTTCTTACTTGCATCTTCCTAAAATATAAAATATTATTATCATATCTATGAAATGTCTCAGTCAACTACATCTAATGCTGCTCGTCTACTAGGAGCCAGTTCAAACTTCAAACTTCTGAAGACTATCCTTATATTAGGGATTAGTTGCTATACATTCTAAGCAATTTGCAATTTTTTCATAAAATTTTTCTTTAAAACTGTTATTAAAAGTTAAGGTGATAACAAACACATTGGAAACTTATTGGTGAAAGGTTCCAATGTCATTTTTATATGGCCACAGCCTCTTGCATATCTACCTATCCACCCACTATGATGCTAGTGAGCTAGTGTTGAATAACATCATAAGGTGGAGGAACTCCCACAGAAATCAGGCAAATATAGGATTCATAATTATATTCTTACATTCTATGGATATAATTAATATGAATTAGGACTAAATTTCACTTGAAAAATTACCAAACAATACACTATGAATCTTGTCAGTTCATCAATGTTTCTGTCACTGGAACTGTGGTTTTTTGCTGGAATGTACACAATGGGTCTCCCAATCATGTCTCTATGTCGAAGTACCCTTGCTTTATTGGAATACTTTTCTATCAGCTCTTTATTATCACCTAAATCTGCAACACCATACTCTACCCGCCATTTGTTAGTTTTTATTATAGCCTGTAATACATGACATTATTAAAATTATTAGATTTATATTAGAGTAAGTACAATTTAACTTTGTAATTTTATTTTGATAAATTTGTGCTAACCTGAAAAGCGTTATCAACTGTTTGAAATGCTCTCAAGTATCTACGCAATGAAAAGTCATTATGATATTGTGCAGGGTCTGCACTAGCAATCAAATTCATTCTCTCTTTGAGCTGCTTTAAATCATCTTCCTTTACAGGTTTCAGTTCCTCTGCCATTATCTTGTTATTTTCACTTAATAGGCTGTATCACTAAACTTGTCACACTAGAGCACATAAGAACAAGTAAGAAAATGCTTTGACTTACGATATTTTTTAAATGTACTATATATAACGCATTACTTGCGGAAATGTGTATGAAATTCATAAAACTTCCTACACGGCTACACTACCTACCACCTACATCAAACATTAATGTGACGTATTACAACAGTGTTGTCAGTTGCCAGTAGGCATCGACAAAATCACAGTGAACTGTGAAAGACCGGTGATTTTTCATTCAATTTTTTCGTAAATAGGTTAGGGTTACTACTTACTCACCTCTTCACAGAGGATGTCTGAAAGCAGAAGAAACGGCAGCCCACCTAATCCTGGAATGAGAGGGAGTGGCCACACAACGGGCAACTATCATTCCTGATACAAAATCGTTCCTATAAGCTTGTGAACGCCCCAGGAGGCTTCTGGGCTTCTGGAAGGAGCTTGATTGGCTCATCTAGCTAACCTGTCCTTATATAAAGGACCATTCTTGACTCGAAATGCGGCAACTGGAGCCAACAACGAATACCTAGTTTAAACATTTTTTGAACTGGGGATTTTAAATATCGTGTGATGTATTCTGACTAATCTAAGTTCTATGTGTATATAAATACAAAATATTGATTTCTGTATCACTTTTTTGTTAATTTCAATTAAATAGAAAAAATAAATAAAGAAGTAAGAACATAATTATTTATACAGTCATTCAGTATTAATATGTATAGTTTGAGACCTGTAAGCGTTGTACCTCCCCCGTCAACCCGTTATTAGGTTAACTGACTATTTGTTTGGTGGTAGATTCGACCAGAACGCCTTAGGTGAGTTTGCGTTTGCGTTTATTCCTAGGGCCTTGGTAGGCTGGTAACACATTTTTTTTCAGCAATTAATTTCCAGCTCAATGCACTTCTGCTCAAATCAAATCAATCTCATGGTACCTACACTGGTGTATTATTTACACTTAAGTAAACTTTGTGTGCTCCAAACATTTAGGCTTAATTTACTGCAGTTAGACATAAAAATATAGCATGCAGATACACAGACAGACAACTAGATTGGTATTGATAGTATTAGCAATTAATATAATAGGTCTTGTAAAGTCTTTCGAGCGGATGATCCCCCGAGTTCGCGGGTTGGCGGGTTCCCTACAGAGCCTATTGCCTAATCTAGGGGGGTCCGCTCCCGCTGCCGAGCTAAGCTCAATCAAGCGCAGCGGGTAGTGGCCATTCGGATCGTACGGGGATACCGCACCATGTCGTCGGAGGCGGTCTCTTGCGCGTCGTGCCCTATTTCAAAAACCTAGTAAGCCGGATTTACCATACCAAAACCTAGTAAGTACATGTAAGTTGCTAGGTTTTGAAGTAGTAAAGGCGAGTTACTAGGTGTTTGATCTGGTTATTTGATAAAGTATAGTACACTTACTAGGTTTCATGATATTAAAATATCTGTTTTTTATAAATTTTTATGAAAGTTCGAAATAGGTTCAAAAAATGATTTCGGAAAAATGACCCTTACTGGGTTTTGACCTGGGGCAGCTGAGCAGCAGCGGACTCCCCACCACTGACTACCGGCCGGAGCGCAAATTTGCGATCGTTGTAAATCGTCTTTTTCAATATTTCTACTTAATTGACTAAAGCGGCATTTTACCATGTTGTAGAGGAAATTACCCCGTTTTTGAAAATTCATTCCAAGTTGTCTCAAATTTTTTTTAGAGCCATTCTCCCGAAGCCCTTTTTATTAGCTTCTTTTTAAGTTTAGCAAAAAGTTTGAAGCCGATCTTGCTGAAATTTTGTGGGCTAACTGGAGGCCACAAATTTGGGGTTTTAATATTGATTAGAACGCAAGTTATACATTTTTTTAAACATTGTAAAAGAACTCGATATTTTGCAATTTGCAAAGAAACTATTCAACCAATCAAGTCAAGACTCTACAAGTCTCATTTTGTTTGTCTTTTAATTGCGCATTTTTTATTTGTACGATTTGAAGTTTTCTTGTAAATTGCGATACCCTTTTTGACTTTTTTTTAACAATGTTCCCATGGACGGATTCGCTTTGAAATGAAATCGTTAAACGTAGCATTGTCAACTAACTGATAAAAGAAGAAAATGGAGGTTATAAATTTCACGATTTTTAGACCAATTTTATTTAGACTATAGGAGAGCAAATGAAAAAGGATCGTAACTTGTAGGTAAATCACTAAGTATTAATTTTATATAAATACCCTATTTTTATTATATTTGCTAAATATATGATATGCTAGCCTTCGTGAATTTGTCACTTAACGCTATCTATTTACAAAAAATATCCCTATCTATTCACAAAATACCTATTTATAACGTACACGTCACACTTTTCAAAACTTAAACCTACCTATACCTACTCTATAATATAACTTCTTATTAACGAATACTATATAGCAGTGATGGAATAATCTACATGGAATTAGTCTTCACACTCATATTCAATAGTAAATTCTTTATTATATAGCATTTAGCAAATAATTGTAGTCGTGAAATTTCATGAACGTATGAATTAATACGTATACGAAATTTCATCGCTTCGTTCGTTAGCGCTTTACATTCACACAGCGCGTGCTTTCTCATTCGCATCAACGCGAAGACTAAATTTAATTTAATAGATCTACTACTTAAAACTGCTAATGCTAGATTGCTAAGTGAACGAAAAATGAACCGTCTGCTATCACGTTTAAGTACCTATTTCGCTCGGAACAGTTTCAATCGGCACTCGACCAGAAGTCGTAATCATATGTCAGAGGTGGAGAACTATTCCAAAGAGATTAGGAGATCATAAGATAGGAAAGGATGGGTAGTAGTAGTATAGTTGGGTCGGAGTCCTGAGAAGTTGGGTCGGAGTTCTGAAACTCGAGAAATCGAAGACCAGACATCCCAACCCCACCAGGTCCTTGTGAAGGAGGGAAAGGAACGACTTGGGCAACCAAGCGCCGGGCACGCAGTTATCGCGGCGGTAAGACCCGTTATGGAGGATTGGCCCAAGAGGTATTACGGAACCCTCTCATACCGGTTGACGTAGGTGATCACCGGGAAAGGATTGCAATTCAATATGTCACACGTTAATTGCATAGTTCTCGTACATGATCTTGCTGATAAGCTCATCGGCCATTAAGATAAAGAAAGGTAGTTGCTTCAGAACGTAACTGTGCCAGAGTTTATAACATTAATATTTAAAACGCCGTTTTAGAAAACATATACATAGATTTTCCATTTCACATCAACAGCCTTTAACAGTAAACTGCTGGACATAAGCCTCTCCTTAGAAAGGAGGTTTTTGCCTACTATACCACGCTGGCCAGTCGGGTTAGTATAGGGTTTGTGTTCCTTCTCTCTGCAGTGCTGTTGTTCTGCGTAGTTGAATTTGAAAATATTACTTATAAATAACAATTCATAAACATTGTAATGGTATACGGGTATTATTTTTCGATAAATGACTGATTTTTATTTTGAAGAATAAAAAGAGACGCGTAGGTACGTTTTAATTGTATGTAACGATATAAACAATTTTGTTACTGAAAATACAGAAATTAAAATCAAATATTTTTAAATAATTATAAAATGACTTTCTTTTATATTTATATATACGTATGTAATACAAGTGACACACTAGACATGCCTGAAATAATGTGATACTGAGCCTGGTTATTCTTTGCTTAATGGTTTGTAAAGAATTACTCAGAGTGCGGCAGTTGATTTCTTTGAAAACGAATTACCTACTCGATTTGAACTTTTACAATTCACACTTTTAACAAATATCTTAAACAGCAGCAGCTTTTGTAGATTTAAAGATAAAGTATTACGCATCCTGTTTATTATCTTCACAAAATTGATCTGCGTCAAGTTCAGTTTTCGGCACAAAGTTTTGATGTTAAATAATTATCAACTTAAATGAGTCCCTCCATCTTAAGAACAATCCTTAAAGTTACTCCATGTTGGCACCCACATGAAATTAATAGCTTAAAGTTTGTATCAGATACATTACATGTTGGTTGATTAGGTTAGGAATTGCTATTTTTGGGTTTAGCTAATAGTCTACCCGCGCCTTCGTCTGTTTAGAATAAGCACTGGTGTAGTCTATTTTTTTTTTGTTTATGGCAAACTGTGCCGATGTCGACAATTCTGCCAAAGTCTAGTGTGTGATGAAGGTGCGTGTGTTTGTAGAGCCATAGAGGGACAAAACATAACCTCTGAAGGACATCACTGTACTGAATATGATCTGTTTGTTGTTAATTATAGAATTTAAAGAAGAACAGACTAAAGTTTGATGGTATTACAACGTATGAAGATCATAAGCGTCCGGAAGAGTTCTGGAGATGAATAAGTTAAGAGAGTAGAGAAATTAATAGGCGTGGAAATCTTCAAGTTTCTTAAGTACTCGTAGAGGTCTAAGGATGGGTTATTTTTCCTGGAGCTAAAGAAAATGTGGTCTAAATTGCCTTCATCTAATCCACATTCGCATAGCGATGAATCCCTAACCGGAATTTTGTGTAGGAAAACAGGGGAGCAACAGTGACCTGTACAAAGTCTACAGATGGTGGAGATTACAATTTTGGATACTTTTTTGTATTTATAGAACCAAGGTTTTGGTGTTACTGATGGCTGTATGGCATAATAATGGTTGCCTTTCCTTTTAGAAGAGCTATTCCACTCTAATTGCCAGGCTGCTAGTAGCTTTTTCCGGGGGAAGCCTTAGGAGGTCATAATAATGGTAAACGTAATGTTTAAGGTCAGCCGTTTCAGAAAAAGCAGCATTTTTGGCCAATAAGTCTGCACATTCATTGCCTATAATGCCACTATGGCTTGGAACCCATATCAATTGGATTAAACTTGAGTTCCTAGAGCTATATAAGGCTTTTTTAATTTCTAGCTATATAACCTATTCTCAAATGGATTTTGTAATAATGCTTTGAGGCAGCTAAGGGAGTCAGTAAATAT